GAGGGAGGGAGGGGCAGTAGGCCCGGGCCTCCAGTGCCATGGTCTCAGATTGTTTCGACCGCTGGTGCCGTGACGACCCGTGTTACCTGGAGGGTGCTGGAGTGGGGGGCGGTGAGAGGGAAGAGTCTATAAGCACCCTTGCCGCTTCTAAGGCCTCCAGTGTGGAGGGTTCAGGGAAGTCCTCCAGTGGGCTCGGCTCCCTATGCTGGGAGGAAGGTCAGCACTCCAGACTTGCCAGTGCCGCCCCACTGGAGGGCTCATGGAGGTCACGTGTCTGGCAGGGGACTGTCCCATTAGGCCTCCTCTTCTTCTACGGTGCCGGAGACTGAGACTGGTATCAAGGTCTCTGTGGTGCCGGGGAGGCATGGTGCAGAGGGGAATCCCGCACTGACGCCAGTGCGCTTTGAGGACCCGGTGCTGACTCTGGCACCGGTACCGGCCGGAGAGCCGCCTCTATAAGGATGATCTTAAGACTCAACTCTCCCTCACGTTTCATGCGTGGATTAAACGCCTTGCAAATTTTGCATGCTTCCGTGAGGTGCATCTTCCCCCAAGCACTTTAAACATGAAGAATGACGGTTGCCGCGGGGCATAGGCTTGTGGCACTTTTTGCAGGACTTAAAGCCTTGCGGGCTGGGTATGAGCTGCCGTGGGCACATGGTGCGCCGTGGCAGGGCACAACAACAAAAACAACAAAACAACAAGAGTGTCTAACTTAACTGCAGGTATGAAGCTAACTGAAAAAAATCAAGAACAATACTGAAGACAACTATCGCTAGATGAGCTGAGGGTTGTTCCAACAACTGTCACGGCAGTAAGAATGTACTGAGTGGGTGAGGAGGCCAGCAGAGGTATATATGGGCCGATATACCGGCGCCACTCCAGGGGGCTCTCCGCTGGCCCTAAGGGTACTACTGAGGGAAAAACTTCCGACGACACGTGCATGCTGCATGCACACACCTAGTTGGAATGCACATGAGCAATCACTCAAAGAAGAAGAGAAGGTGATGGTTGGAAAGAAAGGGAGGAAGAGGAACATCTGACTCTGGTATGTCAATGTTCTTCTTTGGGAAAAATGAACAAGGTCTGGGTTGAAAGAGGAGGGAGTAACTACAGAAGAGGCTTGAGGAGAGCGTCAAGGGTAGAGAAGAGGCAGCTTGATGAGATCAGATAACTCAGGCTCACAGGGCTCAGGTCCTGGAGCTGAAAAAAATTGCTCTGTAAACATTCTCTCTCAGATTGGAGCCCAAGCTCTGGGACTTGGGAAAGGGTGGAAGGTATAAAGGTTGGACTTTAGCCCAAGTGTCTACACAGTGATTTTTCATCCCCAGAGCTAAATCCCAACTAAAGTGACCCAAGTTATCTGCTATTTTTTTATCCCCAAGGAATGGAAGAAATGAAGGTGACAAGATAATTATATATGGGGATAGTGGAACAACCCTGGTGTGGCAGTGATGCAAAAGGTTTAAGTGTAAGAAGGGGATGTCACTAAAGAAAAACAACAAAAAACAAAGAAATGAAGGATCAAGTTAAAAGCTGCAGAGGAATCTGAGTTTTGCCATGGACTTGTATCAAGCAGTCAAAGGAGTAATGAATTATGTTAAAATGGAAGAGACTGATTAGAGAAAGAGTATGCCCAAATTGAAAGGCTGGAGGAAAAGCAATAAAAAGTTAGAATAATCAGAGGAACACATTAATGTGGAAGCGAGACTCCCCTGAAAAGGAACGGGAATTGAAATGAGAGGAGAGCCACTCACTGAAATGGGAAGAGTTAGATCATGGAACAACAACAGATGGCAGCAAAATGGACAAAATGAGGAGCAAAAACTAAGACCATGTCTCCACTTGCTGCACAGGAGATTGATCTTCTGGCATTCAATTTTGCAGGGCTAGTGAAAACCCACTAAATCGAATGCTGAGGGTGGGTCTGGTACTTCCTGAAGTTGCAAGGAGTAAGGGAAGCCGACGGGAGCATTTGCTCCTGTCGGCCTCTCTCTGTGAAGACGGCGCCAAGCTCGGCTTAAGGTAAACTGACTCCAGCTACGTATTTTACGTAGTTGCAGTTGCGTACTTCAACCCAACCTTCCAGTTCTAGTGCAGACCTGACCTTAGATGTGAAAGTAGGGATGTAGTGTGGGTGAGGAAGGAAGGTATGTAAAGTAATTATATGGCCTCCACTATCATCATAGCTGGCCCACTTCACAATCTTTAATGCATTTATCCACAACACACCTATAAAAGCAGGAAAAACTTTTACCCTCATTTACAAATATAGAACTGAGGCAGAGAGGCTAAGTCACTTGCACAAAATCAATCAGGATGTATGAGAAAAAGTAAGGAAATGAACTCAGGCCTCCCAAGTACAAGGTTAGTTCCCTAATTATTGCACCATACTTTCCTTATTACGGCTTTTTGGGTGCTATGATGCTTGCACTGGAGGAGAAAGAGCAAGAAATCAGTGGCATAAAGGCAGCGGCAGATGGAAAGACTGAGGTTTCATTTATAATAAAAATGACCACAAAAATGTCCATGATACCAGTTGTGAAGGCAGCAATGATAAGAGGGAACAGCACTTAAGTTGGAGCCAAGAAGAAGGGGAATCAGTAGGTAATGGAGATGACCACAAAGAGGAAAATGAATGACAGAAGGCTGCAATTGAAAGAGAGATTGCTAGAGGCAAGAAGGAAAAGTTATAGTTGAGATTGGGAGAATCAGGGAGGGAGGAGTAGTCCGACAAATACCTAAATTATAATAGACTGGGTTAGATTGAGGTGAAGAGAAAACACAACCGAGCTTGAGTATCGAGGTGGAAAAAGGAATAGAGAGAGACAAGTATGCAGGGGAAGAGCAGATGAAAAGGCAGGAGTTTAAGTCTCAGAAGGTGAACCTTTGATGCACAGAGAATACAGCAGCTAAATAATCATGACAATAGAAAAAGTAAGAACTCTGGCAACTAAACATTCAACTACATTAACTGCAGCAAATGATTGAGTATAAGCACAGGGGATGGTGGAGAAAACTGCTGAAACTTAATCCTTGACCAAGTTCAAGTCCTTGATAGTAGGAGAGTTCCTATGGACAAGATAGTCAGACACTCCCTGGCTCTTCTTATCCAGTAACCTGGGAGCACTATGAAGAGCTTTTGGGAGAGCATGTGTGTCTCATAGGTTATTGCTGAAAGCAGCGAACAGAAGTGAACCAAGGAGTCCAATGGGATTCAAGCCCCTGTGCAGAAAAAGGAGTGGGTTCCTACTGGAACAGTAGCACAGAGCTCAGGAGTGCAAGAACTCTGTTATGCCACTGACACATCCCTGGAGGTACGTGCGGCTGCAGATTTCATACTGGAGAGCTAAGGCACAACATAAACAGCTACAAAGATACATATGGTTGGACTAACGGGCAACAGCGTGAAGCTGCAGAACCTGCATCAATGAAAGGTCTCTCATTTTAAAAACACATTTACTGGTTATTTCCTTTTAAGCATATTTTAAAATATGTAACCTATATTTGTTTTCTGTTTTAATTTTACAAACAAAAAGCTACTAGTATTGAAAACCTGTTAGTGAAAGTTCCACCAATAAGCAAACTTATACTCATGAGCTATAGAAGGGTCTTTGTTGCTCATTAAAAAGAAAAATCAATAGAGATGTAGGCTACAATCCCCTGACCACATCTACAAAGGAAGAAAGAGAAGGAAACACAGACGTAATATAAAATTATATGTGGTACTCAGGCATGGGCCAGACATTGCATGAGGTCAGCGGTTCTCAAATTATGGGTTGGGACTCCAGAATGGGTTGCGCTAGCTTAGACTTTTCAGGATTGGCCCTGGCCTGAGCTCCACTATCCAGGGCCAAAGATGATGACTTCAGGCTTCAGCCCAGGGCAGCAGGGCTCACTTACATGCCCCCTTCCTGGAGCAGAAGCCCTCTGGCTTTGGCCCTCCCGCATGGGCAGTAGGGCTTGGGCAGGCTCAGGATTTCATCTCCCATCCTGTGGTCATGTAGTATTTTTTGTTGTCAAAAGGAAATCACAGTGCAATTAAATTTAAGAACTCCTGCAGTAGGTACCAGAACCAGTTTAAAACCTTCACTGACACATGTGAGGGCTGATATTTATTGAGCCCTCAATAAATGTCTAAGTAAGGTGCTTCTTTTCTGTTGCAATATACATATAGTAAAAAGAGATGGCTGAGAAATAAAACAAACAATTATATATTGACAGAGTGATCATTAGTAACTTTTTCAGAAGTATTTACACTTACATTTCCAGACTGCCCACTGTTATTTGTAATGCTGTTTGTGGAGTTAAGATTGCTGCTCCATTCATTTGCAATTCCTATGCTGTCTGCTGAAAACAGATGAGCGCCTGGCTTTGATTGACAACCAGTTTGCAGTATGACTACATTCATGGTGTCCTCTGTTGAAGGAATCCCCAACAAATTACACACAGATTTTGTATTTAGCTGTGTGAATTCAACAATTATATACCTCAAACCAAACACAGCACCACTTCTCACATGAAAACATTTAACTACATAAATAAAAACTGTTTCTGAAAACAAAATAATATAAACAAAGCAAAATCAATTTGAAAATGGTGTAATTTAATATTGGTGTATTTGTGGCCACTTAAACTTTAGTACCAAATAGTTGTCCATATCCCAGAGGGCTTCTCCTTATAATATGGTCCAGCAAAAATCCATAGGAACAAAACAGATTGGTATGCAAGAACAGTCTTATTACAGATTTTGCTGTACTTTCAGGAATCTATGATACTATAGAGTTGAGAGAGAACATTTTTAGGACTCCCTGTTGCAATGATACATGTGACATTATATACTGAATTACTCTCTTTTTCACTCAAAGTGATCTATAGCATCACACCAAAAGAAGAGGATGTTACTCACCTTGTGAAGTAATGATGGTTCTTCAAGATGTGTGTCTCTAGGGGTGCTCCACCATAGGTGTGTATACATGCCTGCACTTCTGATTGGAGATGTTTGGTAAAAATGCCAGTTTGGCCTGTACACCAGCTCTCCCTCCCTTCTTTTCTTCCTCGAGGCTCATCACCACTGCATAGGGAAACCACTTTCTCTACAATACAACCCCTGTGGAGAACTTTTCAAAGTAAAACAGAGAAGGCTGGGTTGTAGAGCACCCATAGGGACACACATCTTGAAGAACCACCATTACTGTAAAAGGTGAGTAACTTCGTCTTCTACTTTGGGTACTGTTCTATAGGTGCTCCATTGTAGGTGACTCCTGAGCAGTATCTTCAATGTGAGGTTGGGAAAAGGGGAGCCTACACAGGAACGATGAGCTCCACCTAAACCAAAGCATAACCAGATTACTGTCATTAAAAATTTAAAAAGTTGGGGTACGTCTACACTACAGCGCTAGTTCGAACTAACTTAGTTCGAATTAGTTAATTCGAACTAAGCTAATTCGAACTAACGCGTCTAGAACTAAAAACTTAGTTTTGCTAATTCGAACTAGCAAGTCCACATTGAGTGGACTCTGAACAGGGCTTAAGGATGGCCGGAAGCAGTGCCAGCAGGGCATAAGAGGAGGACTTAGAGCATGGAGATGCTGTCTCAGGCTAGCCGAGGGCTGTGCTTAAAGGGTCCCGACCCCCACCCCGGACACACAGTTCTAAGGGGTGCCCCGCTTGCAAAGAAGTTCTGGCTTGGAGTGCCCGGAGTACCCACACTGGGCACATCACACCACTCGGCCATCAGCCCAGCTGCACTTGCCGCAGGCTGCCATCTGGGGAGAGGGGGTAATTGGGGGGCTGCAGGAGAGCTTCCACCCCCAGAAGCCCGCAGAGCCAGCCCAGTCCTCCCCATCGGGGGCTCGTACCCCATTCCTCCCTCACCTCCTTCCACTTACCCTTCCCTAGCCCCCCTTCTTATTGACGTACAAAATAAAGATAACGTTTCTTCCAACACTGACTCTGTCTTTATTGAACAAAACTGGGGGGGACTGGGAAAAGGAGGTGGGAGAGGGGAAGAGAAAGGCTGGGAGAGGGGAGGGCAACTAACATGATCAGGGGTTGGGAACAGGTCCCAGATGAAGAAAGGCTACAGAGACTGGGACTGTTCAGCTTAGAAAAGAGGAGACGGAGGGGGGACAGGATAGAGGTCTCTAAAAGCAGGGGTTGGGTGGAGAGGGTGCATTCAGAAAAGTTCTTCCTGAGTTCCCATAAAGAAGGACTAGAGGACACCAAAGGAAAGGAATGGGTAGCAGGCTTGAAACTAGTAAGAGAAAGTTGTTGTTCTTGACAAAGCAAATAGTTAACCTGTGGAACTCCTTGCTGCAGGAGGCTGTGAAGGCTACAACTAGAACAGAGTTTAAAGGGAAGTGAGATCAAGTCATGGAGGTTGGGTCCATGGAGTAGTCTTAGCCAGGGGGTAGGAGTGGTGTCCCTGCCCAAAGTTTGTGGAAGGCTGGAGAGGGATGGCACGAGACAAATGGCTTGGTCACTGTCTTCGGTCCATCCCCTCCAGGGTCCATAGGGTTGGCCGCTGTCGGCAGACAGGCTATGGGCTAGATGGACCTTTGGTCTGACCCAGTACGGCCATTGTAAGCTCAGGGCTCAGTGTCGGGGGTCTCAGTGGACCCCCTTGATTTTCATGCACACCTGCTCCTGGGTGGCCAGGCTGGCAGCTCTCCTGCCCTAGACGGCCACTTTCCTGTGCCTAGTGCGGAGATCGTGGACGAGGTCCACGATGTCCTCACTAGCCCAGGAAGGTGCCCTCCTCTTGCGGTCCAGGGCAGTAATTCAAATCCGGGGAGGGGGGGGAGGGCTGGGGGGCACCGGGTGGCTGGCTCGAGCCGTGCCAGGTGCAGGGTCTGCTGTCTGGGTGCTGGCAGGCTTGCACCTGACACGGGCACCGTAGCCAGCCCGTGCCCCTTTAAGGGGTCTGGGGGCCGGGAGGGGGGCATAGAGTTTCCCTGGTGTTGGCCAGAGTGGCCACCAGGGAAACCTGGGGAGGGCTAGCCTCCCACTAGTTCGAATTAAGGGGCTACACACCCCTTAATTCGAACTAGCTAGTTCGAACTAGGCTTAATCCTCATAAAATGAGGTTTACCTAGTTCGAACTAAGCGCTCCGCTAGTTCGATTCAAATTCGAACTAGCGGAGCGCTAGTGTAGCGCCTATTAAAGTTAGTTCGAACTAACTTTGTAGTGTAGACATACCCTTGTAGAGCAGTTTTTAAACTAAGGGCTACAGGCGCACATGGATCGGTCAGAGACATCCCTTACAGGAGTGTCTATTAATGGAGATTCTCTGTCTTAGTAAAGAGGAGAGGATGGAAGATGATAAAATACAGGTAAGATCTGATGAGAAACGGTCAAAGGAAAAAGAGTTAATTCAATCACATCATGTAATTGACAGCTAAAAGTGACAAGTTTTCCAAGTGCTTATATGCAAACACTAGAAGTCTAAATAATAAGATGGGTGAACTAGAGCGCCTCTTGTTAAATGAGGATCTTGATTGAACAGACGTCACAGAAACTTTGTGGAATGAGGATAATGAATGGCACACAGTAATACCAGAGTACAAAATATATTGGAAGGCGCGAACAAGTCATGCTGGTAAGGGAGCGGCACTACATCTAAAAGAAAGCCTACAATCAAACGAAGTAAAAATTTTAAATGAACCACAATGTGCCATAGAATCTCTATGGATTGTAATTCCATGCTTTAATAATAAGAATATAGCAGTAGGAGTATAATAGTGACCACACGAACAGGATGGTGCTAGTGACTGAAATGCAAAAGGAGCTTAGAGAGGCTAGGAAAATAAAAACCTCAGTAATAATGGGAGATTTCATATTATTGACTGGATACATGTCACCTCAGGGTGTGATGCAGAGATAGTTTCTTGACACCTTAAATGACTGCCTCTTGGAGCAGCTGGTTCTGGAACCCACAACAGGAGAGACAATTCGTGATTTAGTCCTACGTGGACTGGTCTAAGAGGGGAATATAGCTGGAGTGCTTGGAAATAGTGATCATAATATAATTAAATTTAACATCCTGATAGTGGGTAAAACACCACAGCAGCCCAACACTGTTGCATTTAATTTCAGTAAGGGAAACTACAGACAAATGAGGAGGGTCCTTAAATAGAAATTAAAAGGCACAATGTCAAAAGTGAAATCTCTGCAAGCTGCATGGACACTTCAAAGATACCATAATAGATGCTCCATTTAAATAATGTACCCCAAATTAAAAAACATGGTAAGAGAACCAAAAAAGTGCCTCCATGGTAGGAATGTTAGCTATCAGTTAAATGAATAGCTTAACTAACCTCATTAATTCACAGCTGTTTGTCAACTATTCTATAGTCCCCTGGGGGGAGGCTGGCAGCCAGTGCCATCCGGACTGACTTCTTGGGAGCTCCCTGACACTCTGCACTGCTGCCTCTCTATCAGAGGCAGTGGTACAGGGTGCCAGGTGGGAGCCAGTCCATGAGGGAAGCCAGTTTAAAAAACAGCTTCCTTTTCAGATCAGCTGCCTTGCGCTGCTGCATCTGATACAGAGGCGGCAGCGCAGGATGGCAGCAATCCCTGTCAGTGGGGGGGCCTGAGTGGGTGGAGAGGAAGCAGGGAAGTGGACAGGGTTTACTGCCGGAGCAGCCTCTGTCTGCAGCTAGCACCGGACCCGCAGCGGACAGAGGCTGCTTTGCAACATCAGTCTCTCGTATCCCACCCTCCCACACTGCTGCCTCTGATAGACAGCAGCTCAGAGTCAGCAGCATAGGGGTGGGGCAAACTTTTAAGCTGGCTCCCCACCAGAACTGGCTCCTGCTTTCTCCCCCTTGCTGCCTCTGATACAGCGGCAGCAAAGTGGGTGGAATTCAAGTAGTTGACTAGATTAACCGATAAATTTAGGCTTATCTGTTAATCAATTACTCATTCACATCCCTACTCCATGGTTTAAAAACCAAGTAAAAGAAGCAGTGAGACATAAAAAGGCATTGTTTTTAAAAGTTAAAGTTAAATCCTAGTGAGGAAAATAGAAAAGAGCATAAACTCTGGCAAATTAAGAGTAACAATATAATTAGGAAGACCAAAAAAGAATGAAAAATAGCTAGCCAAAACCTTAAAAAGTAATAGCAAAAAAATGTTAAGTACCTTAGAAGCAGGAAGTCTAACAACCAACCAGCTGAGATACTGGACAATTGAGATGCTAAAGGAGCAATCAAGGATATAAAATAATTGTGGAGAAACTAATGAATTCTTTGCTTCAGTCTTCATGGCTGAGGAGGGGAAGGAGATTCCCAAACCTCAGCCATTCTTTTTGGGGCTGTGTCTAGACCACATCCCTCTTTCGACAGAGGGATGTAAATTAGACACGTGGGCCGGGAGGGGGGCATAGAGTTTCCCTGGTGTTGGCCAGAGTGGCCAC